GGCTTAGATCGCCGGTGGGCAGACTAGTTGCGACTAGTTCGCGTTTCACGGCTTTTTCGGTTTTTTGCGGTTTTGTAAAACGATTTCTCGAGTTTTATAAAACGATCTTCGGATTTCATAAAACGACTTTTTTAGTTTTATAAAAACGATCTTCGAGTTTTATAAAACGATTCTCGAGCTTTATAAAACTATTCTTTTTGTATTCTTGCGGAAAGTTTTGGCTATTAATTCCGTCGTACCGATTTTGACCCCAACATGGAATTTGGAAGTTGTTTTGTTTGTAAACTTTGGGAGAAAGTGTTTAGATCACTTGTGTTTATTGCATGTTAGGCGTGGTAGTAAATAGCATCAGGATCATAGCTTGATAAGCAACTTGCATTTCATTAGAGTATTTGAACATTACATAGCTTGATAAGCAACTTGCATTTCATTAGAGATAAGACATAACCTCATAAAAAAGCTAAAGACAATAACATAAGGAAGAGAGTACATAATCCAAACGGCCAAAGAAGACCATTGTTCCTAAGCGAAAGCATAATTAGTGATAGTACATTTGCATAATTAGTTAGTGAGCTTGGCATAGATGAAGGCCATTGTGCCGAAGACAACTGCAGCAGTAGCAATGTTGAGAATGTTGGATTTAGATTTCTCTGGTCCGGAAGATCGGATTGTTTGATTTGTAAGATTAGTTTGCTGTTGGAGAAGGTTTTTGATGTCGTTGATGGCGCCGTCGATGTAATTCCCCTGTTTTTCGAAGAGGTCGGAGGTTGACTTCATGAAAGTTCCCAAATCTTCTTGAAGCTTAGACACTTTAGCATCGACCATGTTAATCTCATCAATAATCGCCTCGTCTATCCATTTGAACAAATGGTCTTCGTTTTGTCTCTGTGAAGGATTAAATGAGGCAATAGGTCATTTGGTGGTAGAAGGGAAAGTGATTATAAAGTGATTGAATGGGAATCGGATAAGAAGCATACCCTGACGCCGATTTCACACCTGTAGAACCGACAGAAGCAGTTGTCCTTTGTTTTTGATCCGAAAGTGGTGAGAGTGGAACCACACCAACATCGAGTTGGTATACCAACTGTTACTCTACGAGTTTGGGAATGGGAGGAGGAGGTGGAGGAACTCATGTGGAAGCTGTTTTCGTAGAAGGAGAACAAGTCGGCAAGGATGACCTAATCGAGGAAGACGAAGTGAAGGGTGGTTTGTGTTTAGGTAAGGGACAGTAAATTAAAGGTGAGGCAAACCGGTTGTAACCAAGTTTAACCATTTATTTGGCATTGGTTATGTGGGTGAAACCCGGTTAGCTTTTAGATTAGCTACCTAATCGAGTAATCAGAAATGAAGGCTGTAATGGGACAAGCCGGTTTAAACCAAGCTTATTTTATTTGTTGGACATTGGTTATGTTGGTGAAACCCGGTTAGCTTTTAGATTAACTACCTAATTGACTCTTGATTAATCAGAAATGAAGGCTGTAATGGGACAAGCATGTTTAAACGAAGCTTATTTTATTTTATTAACTAGTGTTGCGGTTAAACTAGTGTTGTGTCTTTGTGGAAGGTAGAGAAGATGGGAACATTAGATATTTGTTATCCATCAAACATTACAAAATACATTAGTGTTTAGAAAATAAGTTGCAAACAAAAGAGGGTTTATCAGTAGATCAACAACCCTGACCAAAAGCTAGGCACTTATACAAAATATTAACCGCAACATACATATGATTGTTTAACAAAAGATGACCTAGAAAGATGGTGGGGGGGGGGCATAGTAAGCAGGCATGACGAGTGTCTTGTAGATGTCCATGGAGTATTGCTTTCGAAGGTCATCAACAACTTTGTCCGAAATAGTTGACATCTGAGAGGCGGGGTCACTATGTGCGTGCATCTCCATGTACTTGACAGTTAGAGGACCGCAGTCGCCACCCCTAGCGTTGAGATATAGATGTGGTACACGTTCCCAGCGGAAAAGCTTGAGGTCAGGAACTTGGTTTGGAGTAGCAATCTTCTTTAGGATGTGGGGAAGTGACTTGAGGACATGATTCATTAACCTTTGCACGGTGACATATTTGTATAAGGTTGGGCGTGGATCTAGGATTTCAACGAGACCAATGTAAAGCTTGATAACAAGGCCAACCCAATGCTTATTGTTCCACAGCATTGGAGTGTAGACAGTGTAGATATCCTGCAACAACTTTCTGCCTTGCTGGGAACACATATCTGTGAGACGTTCCTCCCATTCTTTGTTAATGGCGAGATTAATCCTCTTTTTTATCTTTTGCAGACCAGAGCCAAGATGTAGAGGAAAAAAAAGAGCATTGTGGTTGGCAAGCAGTTTGTAGTGCCTCCGAGCTAACATTGTAATGAGAATCTCCAAGTGGTGAAACCAAATAAGCTCATAATAAGAATGAGAGCGTAGATATAATTTATGGCTTATATTACAAATTATCCTATATCTGGTAAATCAACTTACATATGCGGATGTCCATTCCTTGGGTGTAGCGAGATCAAGCAGGAAGTTGTTTGAGAATTCAAATTCCGATGGAGTGATATGGAATCTGTAGTTAAATTGGTCATTTTAGATATGAATCAAGGAAAATATAGAATTGTAAGCAGGAATGAAGGTGAAATAAGATGGACATACACTTTCTTGGATGCTGAAAGTGTTTTGTGGAAGAGCTGCCACTCGAGTTCGGGGAGGGGCCCAATGAGAGAAAGCGCTGGGATAGTAGGGCATTGAGAGAGTAGGCGCGCAAGAGCATTGTCCTCATCAGAAGGTTGATGCCTTGGTTTCGTCGGAGAGTCATTGTCTGAGATTTCCACAAAGGCAGTGTCGTCATTAGAATCCTAGAAAAGAAAGTGTTAGGTAAGTGGTTCAATATATGCTAGCCTTGGAAAAAGTGTTTGTGAACAGAACCTTATGGAGAGCTCTAGCAACAGTGTTTGGTTTTGGAGGAGAATTTGAGCTAGCGGTTTCTTTGAAAGCGTTTGGCGACGAAGCATGTGCCGCAAAACCAATGACTGTGTTTGTGATTTTGACAGGCTAAATTTGAGGGAAAAGTTTTTGGGGGCAAAGTCGGTTTGTTGGGGAAGTTGGGTTGATGGATGAATCGTATTTTGGTGGGTGTGAGAATTGAGAGTCGGGGCGGCATGGTTCGTAAATGGTAAGACCATGTAAAAGAAGTCTGTGGAAGGGGGGCTGTTAGGGTGATCACTCTCTTCGTAGACAGCTTATTTGAGTGTGGCGAAGGTGCGGTTTGTGATAGAAGATTCCTGAGGAGAGATGTAGAAGAGTTTGTCAACGTCAGGGCTGCTGGTTTGTCCCTGGCACAGTGATTCTGTGACACCCGTCACCTCCTACTTGGAGTACAGCGTGTCACCCCCGACGCGTCCTCAAATAACAATGTGACACCCGTCTCCCTCTCTCTAGGGACAACGGGCCACCAATAATATCTCATAACATAAAAATCGAAAAGCCCAACTACACTCGCCCAAGCCCAAAGAAAAATCCGAATAAAAAGTCCAATAGCACCAAATCCGTCCAAATATCACTTCATTGCTTGTCTCACCTTAAATGGGAAGAAAGAGGGGTGAGCGACTGGGGAATCACTCAGTGAGGTATGGGATGCTACCCCGAAGTCCATAGACCCGGACATAGCACTCCAAATAAATATAAATTAATTCTAATGCATGTCAAACACGGTACCTAAAGTACCCACGCAAACAAGCAATGGTCCTAGCGAGACGCACTCGCTGCCCACTAACATGCCAAAAACACCGCCCACACTAGGGCTAAACAACATAACAACCACTGAGGATAGTGCCTCGGCACCGCCCGTAGACGATTTATCGACCCTAAGTTACGGCACAACCGGTCGACTAAAGTTGGCCGTAACCCTAAAACAATCCGGCATACAGAAGTCTGTGTCCGTATCCAGCCAAACAATTCTAACTAAATGATTTACATTAAGCGAAGCAATCAATGTTGAACCATCTGACACACTATTCCGGTTTATGCAAAGAATTCTAAACCTAAACAAGCAAACACCAATCAGACCCTAAATTATACTTAATTCACAAAGACGGAACACATTAGAAATAAATTATATTTATTTAAAGTTCTAAATCGCGTACGAATCGTTCGGAAGTAGACCCTCACCTTAGAAACTGGGGGAAAGTGGTATCTATGAACTCCAGCTGCTCAAATAGATCCAAAATCTGAAATCAGATCGAAATTCCGAGTCAGATTGACCGTCGAACGGTCGAAAACGGGTGATTACGGAAAAGTCAATCCGCTGGTCAAAGATCAACCCAGTCAACTCTGACCCAAGCCGGTCAACCATTGACCAAATTGAAATCGAATTGGACCAATCAGTTTTCCTTAACCGGATTCGATTTCAATTGAACCGGATCCAAATCAATTACAAATCGGTTTACTCCTAACCAAAATTCAATTGATTGTAACCGCCGGTTTACCTTGACCAAATTGCAATCGGATTGAACCGGGTCAAACCAGTCAACAAACCGGTTGACCGAGTCAACCGAGTTGACTCACTGAGTTGACTCGGCCGAGTTGACCGAGTCACCGGCGACGGTCCGACGGCGGTCCGGCGGCAGAGGAACGGCGGTCCGGCGGCGGAGGAGCGGCGGTCCGGCGGCGGAGGAGCGGCGGTCCGGCGGCGGAGGGACGGCGGTCCGGCGGCGGAGGAGCGGCGGTCCGACGGCGGCGCGTGAAACACACGCGCGCGACGGCGAAATTTCGGGCCACGCGTGCGGATTCGTTCTGGCTCCGATTGAGGCGTTTTTGGTGTCTACGGATTCGTCTCGACGAGTAGAACACTGTGATGGTCTTGCATGCACAATAATCTCAATGGTTCAGAAGTTATTGACGATTTACTAAACGGAGAAAACAAAGCTTCAACTCACTGCGATTTCCGGTTACTTTGGCTGTGGTGGACAGTGGTGATGAGCTCTGCCTGGTGCCGACGAGTGGTGGTCCGGACGAGCTCCGGTGATGTCTTAAAAACATGGGTTTCTCCATTTTTTCCTCTCTCACTCTCTCTCTCTCTTTCTCTTTCTCTTTTTCTCTCTCTCTTTCTTTTGGTTGCAGAAATAGTAAACATATGGGGAGAGGTTTTAAAACCAAGTCCATGGGCCTTATGAAATAGAATGGGCCTGCGGGAATGACGTTTAGCGTGCTAACAAATTCTATGTTCGGAATCGGGTCGTTACAATTCTCCCCCACTAACAAGGAATTCGTCCTCGAATTCGAGTCGTCTGTTGACTGACCAAAATCATCGCAACAAAACTCCGAGTAATCAATTTGCTTGGTTTCTAAGATCTTCTTTTGAACCCCAACTCTCTCGCAACAACTCTGACAGACACTGGCGACATTCTCCGAAGTGCTTCCATTTGACTATCGCAATTCCTCGCTAACTGACAAGATGAATCCAATCTCGCTGAGGTCATCTAGTGATTGCTATAACCTAACTTTGGCTATGCCAAGACTGTCTTTAAAACAAAAACCTGAAAATCTGGTAACTTATTGATTAACTCAACCCCAAAGCAACTTTTACAATCCACTCTACAATAGAATACAATCCCATAATCATGGTTTACGCTTCATTAGCTTCCAATTCTTATATCCTCCCTAAGGTATCCTTATTTTCAGTTATACGATCGCCTACCTGAACTCCAAGTCCTTACTGTTTATCTTCATAATTCTTATGACGGTCACGAACTGCCTTATGCCATATTTCTGCATGTCCATTTGCTCTACTGTCGCTTGAACTATTAATGGTTCTACAACTTGCTGCTCCCCCACTTTTGTCCAGCAAGGTAATGTACGTCAAAACCTATCATGAAAGATTCATATGGTGCTATCTTAATTCCTCATTATAACTGTCACTGTAGGCAAACTCTGCTAGAGGTAGACGCTTCCATAACTTCATTTCCACTATAAGACACAATCTCTAAACATATCGTCAAAAATCTGAACGGTCCTCTTTAACTGATCCTCTGTCTCTGGACGATAAGTAATATTCCCGGGTGGATATAGAAATGCGAGTGATGTGTTTGCTGTAAGATCCTTTTTCTTAACAGCTTATCGTCTAACACACAAAATCGATGTTTATACCCGAGCATCCTGCTCAAAATTGCATGATATACAACACTCTCAACCTCGATCCACCTAACCAAATCCATATCGCTATCTTTAGCTTAGTGTAATCTCCAAGGTAAATTTGTATGTTCCAATGCTCCAATGTTTCAATGCCGACTGTATCCCCTTCTACTGAACTGCACATAATCTTAAGGCTTGTGAGCGTTCCAGTAACTCTTGATCGTCCGTGGTTCCTGACATATCTCTCATGTACCTACTTAAGGCATTTACCACCTGGTTGACCTTATCAAGTGGCATGCGATATTCAAACTGTGGGCGACTACCAACTCAATCCATTTGCACGGTCTCAAATACAAACTCTAATGAGTGAACATAAATTACTCTGATGATCCCAATGAATCTGAACTTCCTTTCCACACAATGATGATCTCGAAAGCTCTAAAGCCGATACAACTGCTGCTGACTTCAAGTCGTGCACTGAATATTTGGCCTCGAAATATGCTTAACTAACCACAACATAAATCTTAATACACTTTCTATTATGACGGTGATGGTAATGGGGACAACTCAATAACTCAGACTCATTCTCTGCTCGGTAGCTTTCTTCACTGAAACTCTTAATCTGAAGTAAGCAACGACACCGCTCATGTGTGAATCTCTACTCGCATTCTATCCAAAAACTTTCTGATCAGATTTTCTTCATGAATGACACCTCTAACAAATCCTCTTCTTTAAGTATGATAGGTCCAAAGTGGCTTATTCGTACTTCCTCCCACCACGCTAATGCATCTCCATGTAGATACTCCATAGTCAATGTAAAAGGTAACCTTGGTGATCACTCCAAAAATCTCCAACTTATATTCCAAAATGCTCCATATTCATAATCTACATCTGGTTCGCTGCTTATGCGATGATCTGACCTTCTTGTATTAATACAGAATCCACTTATGCTCATCTTACTTCCCCCTACTCCAACAATATTCAGGATGTTGTTGATGAATACAACCACACACTTATCCAAGTGCTCGAAAAAGAATTTATCCTTAAGTTTCATGAATGCTATCCGTGAATTCTTCAGCCCAATAATATAATTTCCAACTCGTATTATCCATCTTATATGTGAAACTGTAATCTGTACAGACTTCCCAGCTATAGTAATCTTATGGTACTCTGGATTCAAGTCAATCTTCAAAATGATGAACCTCCTGTAGTATCCCGCCAAATCTACTGATCTATGTAGAAGCACTCTTAGGTGATGACCACTCTGGAACTGCAATAATCTTTTTTTGGATCAATAACAACTCTTGCTTCTGAAACCTCGTGACGCAAAAATCTGATATTTTTCTGCCAGACGCAACACTTACTCAACTTAGTAAACATATGATGGTCTCTTAGCTTACCCAATACAATCCGCAAATGCTCTGCATGCTCTTCTCTGCTCCAAGAATAACTAGGATATCTTCGATGAAAAAGATCACACACTTAACCAAATACTCGCAGGACACAACAATCATAAACTTCCTGAACACTGCCGATGCGTTCATCAATACAATTTTTTTCTTACTACAACTCATAATGCTAAATCAATATTCGAAAACCATAAAACTCCTTGCAGTTACCCGAAAAACTCATCAATACAAGGAAGCGGATACTTATTTTTGATGTCACCTTGTTTAAACCTCTGTAGCCTACACAAAGTCTGAGAATATCATCTTCCTTCATCGCAGTAACATTGGTGGTCTCCATGGCGAAAAATCCGGTAAAATAAAATCTTTGTCTGGTAAATCTTTTACTGTCACATCAGTTTGGTCATCTCTTTTCGCACTATCTCTAGTTCCAACTCAATTGTATGAATGTGTCTTCCATCCGATGGTGACCCTTCTATAGGTCTCAAATACATTCTTATATGCTGTAATAACTAGCAGTTCATGCATCTCATGTTGTCCATCATCCTTAATCATCACACGGTCTTCAAAAATCGATTTGCTCTTATATCCTATAACTCCTCAACATGTAGTGTGGAAGCAATAAAACTCTCATCTCTTCCAGGGGTATAAACCATTGTCCTCAGCAACTCTATACTTCTTGATATCATGACAATAACTCTATCTCAAAACTGGCAACGTAAAACTCAGCTCCATCTCTGGCGAATCTCTGAATAACGCGACCTCCAAACATAACTAGTAAAACTCGATGAACATGAATAGCTCTCCACATCTTATGCCAGTTTACCCAGCTGATACGTCTCTGAAGCGGTCAACAAAACCAAAAACCGGCAAACATGCCAAATGTAACTCCAATATAAACCACAACGCTAGATGCTGCACCCTAATTCCAAAAGCGATCTCCACGAGTTTACAACAAAGCATATCTCCAAAATAGTCAATATACTCATACACAAAACATCACACGCCAATCCATGGCTCAAAACTCACATCACAAAAACTCATACATCAGAAACTCGTGGG